CATCTCTCTGCAATTCACTGGCAATAACTTCTTTACATCTTTTAAGAAAATTTAAGTGCGTATTTTCCCCTACAAAAACCTAATCCAGAGGAGCCTTCTGTTAAATTCCTATGTTTTGGGGAAACAATGTTAGGAAGTCATAAGTTTTCTAAAACGGAAGACACCCAATCTCTATCATTTTTATTTCTGCTTTTGCATTCGCAGATTTAAATTCTACACCACTGAGTCAGGAATGACTACTAACAGTAGTGGTCTCAGTTAAATGGTTCCTGTATGCACGCACTTATAACACAAAACGCTAAAAGCACAAGAAATTCAGGTGAAGTCTGACAAAGGGGACTCTGTTAACGTGAAGCACTTTGAGACCAGGATCTATTAAACTATAGATGAACACTTTAAAGAAAACATATGCAAAATGCTTCCAGGTGCCTTTTGGTCAAAAAGTGCTGAATCATCTTACACCATTACCTGTAGTTAAAAAAGGACACCCTACCACTGCCAGTAAACCAAACGCATTCGACGCAACATACACGAATCTACCAATACGGGACTAACGTATCCAACGTGTTACGGTTCTGTAGCGGAAGGTGAGCATACAGAGAAGCAGTGATCAGGGAGACGAGTCGCAAAGGACGTTTAAGAAAAGTTTCTGCAAAAGCTTAGCATACAGTAGGAGCTTGTCATGGAGGGAGACTGAAGGCATTTCTTTAATAAGGAATAGTAAATCAATGTCATATTCCAACCCACGCTGTTACCAACAGCGGAGAGAATGGATTGTGTCTACTCTTTCTCAGCATAAGTAATTAAAGATAGCTTGGATTATTCCGATCCAATATTTCTATTGACAAGAATATGAAAAGAACCCCTCTCTTTGATACTTCTACAGAAATGCCATCAATTCCTCCTATTCCCCTCCCTGTAATAAAAGTCTGGCTGGCTTTTTGAGGCATAATATATTATATATAGCATGATAGCGATAGAATAGACAGCGATCATAGGATACTTCCAAAAAACCCCACCACCTTAAAAGGTTATTTACTTCGGCACCCTTTAGTACAATGGAAGCAACACAACAGAAAATGCATTAACAGCCAGTTATGCAAGGGGTTGGTATCTGTTGGTTTGGTTTCCGTCTGTCTTTCTCAGGAACATCACATTTGCTGAAGTTAGACTCAAGACTCAACATTTTTCCCCTTGATCAGGAATGTGACTTCCACTGTACTTTACAGCAACAAAATCTTTGTTACCTCTACATTTTCAGTGAGACCGTATTCAGCATGGGGATTTTCTGGAACCTGTAAAATAGCACATGGTCAGCAAAGTGAAAACGCTCCTTTTATGCATGTAGCGTTACGCACATAAAACATTTCTTGCGATACCTGTGGCTGTCCCTCCATAATCTGTTCTGCCTCCATGACTTGAAAAGTGGGATTTGCTGGACGTACAGTAATCTTGGAAAACAATAACAAAATTGGTCAGCAGGCTGAGGCGAAGACCAGCGTTAGCCGGCTGAGACGGCATCACTTGGTTACTAAGGCACAATTACCGGAGAGCAAACGGAGGTGCTCTGTGCTCCCCCCCCCCCCCCAAAACCCTACCCGTTTTTCCCCCCCACACAAACTGGAAGCGGC